CAATTAACGCATCATATGCAACTCGCCATGTAGTTGTCAATCATCCGAACTTGACCTATCCGGACTCATTACTCGCTGCTTACAGCAGTCAACTAGTTGCATTTAAATATTGCATTATTTCATTTATTGCTAAATTTTATGATGAGAGTCTGTTTAGCAACTATTTGCGGGAAAACTCAAAACTTCTCATTTGTCAGTAAGTTATAATGAAAAATATTCGAGCTGTTTGTTTACGAATGAAATATGGTACCAACACACCGATTTCTGGGCATTTCATATGTTTAACGCAGTGCAAAATGTACAGTGTTGAGGGGTTGTCGGTGTGTGTGTGTGCGTGTTTTGTATTCTGATTTTGCTACCAATTTCAACTCAACGAACGGAGAAGTTAGATGCAAAAATTTTGGAGCGTGGTACTGCTTTGTGTGCAAACCTCTCGTTTTAAAATTATCGCTCACGTGCGTCTAATCTCACTTACGGACGTCGGGAAGAAAAAATGCAAATTTTTTGGTGAGTAAACGATTTCGGCAGTCAGTCAACATAGGAAGCTGAAATTTCACAGGAATGTTCTACACCTCTGTGTAAGTCAAAGATTTCAAATTCACGTATGCCCACGCCACGCGCTCTGATATATCGAAGCTAAAACCAAAACGTCGTTGACAAAGTGTCACTTCAGAAGCTGGGTTGTTAGTGTTCTAACTTTGTGAGAATATTTGTTTTCTACACATGCGTGCTACCTAGGACTAAAATGACTTTAGGCGTGCCTCTGTGTAGTGGTCCGGACACATCGAACATATTTGTTACGAAAAGCGCCTGCGCTAATCAGTCAAGCTAGAAAGCCGAATTCCTGCAAGGATATTCCACACCTATATGCAATCTAAATATTTCAAATTCAGCTTTAAGTTTTGCTTAGGTCTGAGTGGGCGTAATTGGAATTTCATTGCGGTCACCGTCGGCACTTAATTAACTCGATAGCTAGAATGAGCAGAAACATTATCCATTTGAGGGCATTTGCTGACAATGATCGGGCTACCAAGCGTAAGACGAGCTTTTGTGTAGACGTAGCCCTTGCATACACGTGCATCAAATGTTCAAATCGCAACACTGCCTTCACCTTTCTCTCTTATTAATCAGGCAAGCAAGGTGCTAATTTTGTATGAAAATACTGTCTGATTTTACGTGACACGAAAAACGTAATAGAAGCTTTCATATATGCTAATGTCTTGCGTATGAATACGGCAAATGTTAGGTTATGAAAATGGACGCCGGCAAGACGCAGGTATCGCTACCAGGTTGAACAGTGGAACGCTCTGCGTTATAATTTTGCCAGTGATATGTAAGAATTTTTCTGCCTCTTTCATAATCTCGAAAACGGAGAAAAAAAGCTTTACCTTGGTTAAAGTAAAAATGAATACGAATTCGAATGCTAGCCAAAACTGGCTCGAATGCAAGAAAGGAATTATTATGGACGAACTGGGATTAAAGGATCAGCATTTGAGCATCTCCATCAGCATTTTGATGTATTCAACGTCGCTGGGCCGCTCGGCCACATCAATCCGTTTGAAATGCATCTATAGTTCTTAATGAATAGCAGTTACAACTCACGTTAATTTAATATTTTTAAACGAAATCATTCAAATGACGGAGCTTTTTAGGTCCAGATATTCAAGAAGCAGTTAAAATAGTTTTTCTTCTGACGCCTCAGTCCAATTCAAAATATGTATAAATAAAGTACGAAAAGTACCCGGGCTATCAGTGTAGGCACCCTATTTTAGTTATATTACTGGGTTAGTTTTGCACGGCACAGCTATGCCTTTTTTTTCTGGACTACATACCACCAGTTAGTACTTACTGCGTCTTCGATGTGTGCACGTCATTTTTTAGGAGGCCGCCCAAGTGGTCATTTAATCTTCATTCGATTATCGGTAAGATGAGCAACATGCCCTGCCCATCGAGTTTTACTTTTTGGCCTAGCAGCAATGCGTTTTGCATGCCGCTTATTTAATGGAGAGCACGACAGTTTATACAGTCACTAAGAAACATTTCTTCCGCATTGACTCTTTGAGAACATCAGCAGTGCCGCAAAATTTACTACAACAAATGGCTGTTCGACATGAAATCTCCAACTAACGAAAGAGGTGCATATTTACTTCGTCGCTAAAGTGAAGTTTTAGTCTTTTCCAAGTCAGCACCATGTATCTGCGATCTTGATGCGTGAATGCGTACACTTTGGTGCACCTTCGTTCTTGGAGCGTTAATTTTCACGATTACTTTCTTACTTCAGCGCTTAAGAATGCACAGGATCTCCTTTATTTTGCGAATGTTCATCACATTGTAAACTGACACACAAAGTAAAAAACTTAGATTTTCACCATTAATGTTTGAGCTACCTTTCTAATTCGGCCTGTGAAATATCATTTTCTAACAGGGTGTGAAACGGAAGCGGATGGGAGAAAACGCGCAGCTGAAAGCCGTTTCTCAGTTCTGCAATATTCCTAATGACCTTCTATTACAGGCCTGTCGGAATTGGCTTAATTGCTACAAAATTCACACGACAGCACCCAATCGTTTAAGATATTTAGTAACTAGTAACTGCTGAATTTTGTTTATACTACGATTGCAGTTTACGACTGTATGCGAATTTAACTTTGTCAGACTTGCCTCATTCACCATAAGAGATAAAAAAGATGCAGAATTACTTAATAGACTTTAAAACTTCAAATCCAAGTTTCTAGACTCTTAAAGCCTTTTGAAAGTCTGAAAAAATTGTTGAATTTTCCATTCCCGAGCGCGCAAAATTCAGCAGCAAATTTTAGAATTTTTGTAACGCGTGGCTGAAATCCGATTTTGCAATGATACAGTTCTGGTAGTGCATAGGTAGACTTCAAGTTAACGGCGCTATATTGTGCAAGGAAACTGAAAATGGCATTATGGCTTTGAGTACAACATAAATCACTGATTTTAAACATTAAACTGAGCTGCTTGCTCAAATGGTTCTGATTTACAGGCTTTTCTGTTTTTGCCTTTTTAGGGCTGCAGTATAGGATATTCGTGTTTTATTAGTTAGAAAACTTCTGTTAATGATTGGTAGCCTGGGGATTACCCACTTTTTTTCCGAGTTTTAAAAACCTACGGGTTTTCCAGCCCTAATATTTTTCATCCTCTGACGAGTTCTTTCGTTTGGTCATCTTTTTGTTCACGTTGGCTTTGGCGAATAACTTTTGTCTACCCAGAATGTCTCTAGATATAAAGCAGAAGACAAAAATGTGCGTGCATTCTACGTGAATGTTGTTTTATTTAATATTCCTGTCCTTTTCATGCGTCGTTGCATATATTTAATAATAATGGCGTGTACAGGAGACCGAAGTGATTGCGCATGTCTGCTGCTAGAGCTAAAACTTGCAAGATTAGTTACAGTGTCAATCTGTATTTGGACTTAGTCAAGGCCAGGCTACAGAAAGGACTGAGAAATGAATTTTTTTGTCTCAAACTATTTGAGGAAATGATCTTCCAAAATCCTCAGCCATTAGCATTGCTGGTTTTCCAACTGTAAAGTTCAGTTTTACTCGTGCTTGAAGTCAGAGGTCAGAGCTTGAACCAAAAATCTAATTTCAGAGCATTTATAAACTCACGTATCAAATTAATCTCGCGCAGTTATTAGATCATAATTTTCAAGGTCCCCTACGCGCACGTAATATTCGGTCTGTGTTTGCAACTGAGGGATCAAACAAAGAATGCATCCTAACATGTCTTATACATCATACTTAGCCCAATCCCCTTTACTCTGTTATTTCAAGTATAAAATTATTTGGTCACAGCGAAGACTGCAAACAGATTTCAGGTTAAATTATCTGGTCACAGCGAAGATTGCAAGCAGATGACCCAGAACAACTAAAACAACTAGGATTTCAAAAATTCCCTGATTGCCAAATTATTAAGTTACTCTGGATATGCAGTTTAGGCCATTTCGGTCAAGCTGAATCCAGGTTTTAAACCTTTTACAAGATCAAGTTTTAGCAAGTTCTCATAGTTTTAGCTTCCTAACTTTCATAGATCAGTGATTTAATTAACCAGACAGACACGTGAACTTATAATCACATACGGGCATATACAAACATACATAAGAACGTAAACAAACATACACAAACATAATTCTCCCTTTACGCGTTTTTATTTGCATAGTTATTCAAATACGAAATGCATGAAGCGATAAGAATGATTTTTTTTTTGTATCTGAAATAAAATTAGATAATATACAGTAAAAATTTTGTTACATTTTTCCTGGATATTTTGTGCTGGTCAGTCGCCACACATTTTATCTGCAGACGCAGGAATAAACATACAGTGAACTGGTTTGCAGTATTGCCGGAATACTTTCTTGCTCTGAAATCGCAAAAAGTGACTGAAAAGAAAGAACAATTGTTCCGACCGTCTTTGTGTTTCAGAATATTTGATGGTTGAGAAATTAACTTCACGAAAGCATTATATGATGCCAAAAAATGAAGCTGATGGGTTTATCTAATTTAGATTTGGAGCACAATCCAACCAAGATAACCAAGTGCTTTGAGGAACTTAAGCGGAATCACCCCATTTTATAGCAAATCCTCAAACTTAATAACACAATTTTAATAAAATTAATAATTAGAAATAAACTGGCCAAGAAAGTTTTTTTGATTTCCTCTTCGATGTCTGAGTACTACTTGTCTAATGAAGTTAAAGACTGAATGCATGAGTAAAAGCAGTATGAATTTAGACACGTAGAAATGCAAATTTTGCGGTGGTCAACAAATCTGGCGTCTTTTCTCTTATTAAAAATTCGGTGAATCGGTGGTGCTTCCAGAAACCAGTAGCTTTCTCATCTCAACCAATATTGCAAAAAATCGCATCAATCACGACGCGTTATTTTTGATGTTTTTAAGGCGTGAAAAAATAGAGGTAATTTTTGGGATGCAACGGTGAGAGTGGCACAGTGGGATGAAGCAAAAGTCTGAATATTTCCGCAAATGTTTCGCGCATCATGCGGCAGCTGGGAAAGTAAAATAGGATGCGAGGAGCGTCTCAAGCATTCCTACAGATATGCCATCATCGAATGCGTTGTTCGAAGCAGCCGCGTTGTTGCACCACCGCCAGCTGCTGCCTGTGCACACCTAAGCAGCAGGCAGTGCCCACCCCGATACTGTAGCTCGCCGCAGCTGATTGGTCAGCTGTCGAGCGAACTATACCGGATTGGTTCGCCCACAGGGCGTTCCAATAACTACTAACCTTGCTTTCGAAGTAGAAAAAGTGTGGAGAATGCGTCGCGGCAGCGCGCTGCGCCGGTGCGCACATGTGTGCAATTGGTGCCTGCGACACGGGAAAAGGAGGCGAATTTGTAGACATCAGATAGATGGGCGGAGAGTCACACGCTAGGATTGAATGACAGAGGACGGTGTGCTGGCACAAGCCTTTTTTTGTCGCCTGCCAAATTGATTCCAGAATATGCGCGCTCAGATCCAAGCCGGTAATCTTTTCAATATACTAATACTACTAATTCGCTTACCGTTCAAGGCGCTTTTTGAGATAGCAAAAAAAATGAATTTGACGCTGGAACAGAAGAGACAGTGCTCAATTGTGATGAGACTGGTGGAATCAGTGCCCAAAATGGTGCACTTGTGAGTGAGTGAGTGAGTGAATGAATGAATGAATGAACGAATGATAGGAGGGAAAGCTGGATGGATAGTCACAATCACTCTCAGTGAAGCAGAAACAACAGCAGTAGCAGCGGCGGCGGCAGCAGCCCGCATGGACACACATTGAATATACGCCTGATTAGGCCCTTCGCCTCTCGCGTGTCGGTTCACTTAGTTTTCAGAGAAATCATTTGATTTCACGCGTGAACTGCCACCCCCTCCCTTTTCCCAAGCACACCATCAGTAGTAACAGGAACAGGAGCAGGAGCAGCATTACCATCACCAGCGCCAGCACTGCCAGTCCATCGTTACCATCCTTCCGCTTTTCCTCAGCTCCTGTTCGACTACATCCAGAAGTTATTCCATTTGCACTAGTAGTGCGTATTTCACTCGATTAGGCTTTTTACTGGGACGCACATCGGCATCGGCTTATGTACTCCGGGAACTCCAACTCTGAGAGCTGTCTAAATAAGCGTGCGAAAAATGGCTACACATAAATTATTCCATTTTTATATTTCGCCGTACAAGGCACTCGATGTCTGGTTAAACATCGACAGAGAATTTTTGAATAGTCTGTTCCTAACAACAACCTGCCGGATGCCAACATTTATTGATTCAATCTAATATTGCCTGGTATTTCTATAAATGCGGCGTTCTTAATTTTATTAGTTTTCTTGTCTACCACAAATCTATTTCCATGAAACTTATATTTCTTTTTCTTGTAAAAGTATGCCAAAATGATTTCTAGGTTAAAAAAAGCACACTTTTTTCTTGTCTTCTTGTAGGATTCGTTGTTCCAAAATCATATTTCGTTTCTGGACGATTGCCCTCTGCTCAAAACCAGTGTCATAGATTTTTGAATAAAATAGACAATCTGAATGCAGCAGCTATGCAATTTCTTTAGAAATAAGAGCATTTTTAGAGAACAAATTCAAAATGGAGCCTTCATCATCAGCACTATTTTTAGTTTACACTGAGCATCCACTTCGAAAAAATGTAGAATCTTGCTTGCCGCTCATCAAAGTATTGAATCCGCACCTGCAGCGAACGCAAGCTATCCTATAGTTCTATATTCATTCGAACATCGGTTTAGCTATTATGAAGATTCAAAACACTTGTCGCTGCGGTGCTGTGAACCTATTCCTTGGTTCATAATTCCAAATGCGGCTGAACTGTGTTCCTTCAGCAGTAATTATTAGCTGCCTGATATTCTGGCAAAGCGCCCATTCTTTCTGGTTTGCGTTTCGGAAGCCACTTGTAACTACGGTGATGCGCAATAACAAATTTTTCAGCTCATTTGCATTGTGTATCACGTGTGAGTTACACTGGCCACATCATTATTACCGTATTTTGAAACCTTCAGCTTCTTTTTGTAAACTTTCCAATACACTTACAATCAGTGAAACTACTGTATATGAACAAGAAAGGGCCATCACAACACGGTACAGTTGTTGTCTGATTGGTGAGCAATCCCAAGAATGTTGTGTCGCAACTGCATTCACGTTCGAGGTCCAGAAATGATGTCAGTGGTGCGCAGGGAGTAGTGTGTACATATCGCACAACTCATTTGCATAGTGCATTTTTCAGTGAAAGAAAGTTGTTACAGAGAAGTGGAGAGACACAGCTGGGATGCAGAGTTCACTGATTGCATGCTTTAATTGGATCTGCTCCAGAAGCTAATAATCCCCGCTACAGTATATTTCAGGTAAGCAGAAAGAGCAGTGTTTGAGCATTCGGTAGTGCCACAACTGCCGCAGTGGCACACGCGCTGCTTTGTTCAGTAGCAGTAGCGGCTTGTCGGTGTGGCATCCAATCGATGTCTTGTGTTGCTCTTACGGTTGAGCATGATCAAAACGTGATGCCGTGCAACAGAGGTCAGTATTTTTGCTTTAAAATTTTCAAACAATTTTTTTTTTTATCACTCCTTCTTTCTCTGTCTCTGCAGTATGCCCTTTATTCTTCAGCTTGTTAGATGGCATCTACCAGATCTATCATGCTTTGCTGATATTTTGACCCGCTTATCGAAGACAACTTCACGCAGCTATCGTTTCCATAAATCTCACTGAATAAGAAATTTACTGTCAGCTTGTCATAAATTTTCTGAAATTCAAAGCTACTGAATTAATTGTTCAGCTAAACGAAAAGGATGAGGAAAAATTGAGGATTGCGTTGCTGAGCGAATGCATACCAAGCTAGCCTTATTATCTGACTTTCTTCCATCAAACAATAACTCAATCAGCAAGCTAATTGGGTGAGCCCTTGAAATTAGCTTCTGACTGTGGAGAGAAAGGGAGAAGTAGCTGCAAAGGAGAAGAGAACTGACTTCTTCGTTTGCATTATTTGAACGAGGTGTCAGTCACTGCATCACTGAATTAATTTCATTTTGATATCCCCCGGGGATTTCTCTTACTGTTCAGTGGCGTTTCTTCTCTTTAACACATTTGGAAAATCCGATCATTATTTGCTTTCGCATTTTGCAACCGCTACAAAATATCATAAAAATCACGAATAGTGCTTTACCGACAGCACTGTTTGATTTCAATTTACACAGTCTTGCTTGTTCTTTAGATATAGCCAGATATCGTGAGAAATTTTATCAAGTCTGTCTTTTAAAGCTGCATATCTTTCTTTTGATTAAAAGCCACTGATCGGAACAACAGTAGTATGTTCTAGGAAATAACTCGGGATGAGTAGCTGGAAAATTTGCTCAGATCTGTGCAAATACCTCCTTATTTAGTAACAAAACTCTCTTCGGTATCGCTGTGGTGTCTTTTTTACTGATATACACCATGCGTCAAGTCACACTAATTTTTTATTATATTTTTGATTATCTTTACCAAAACCATCATACTACTTGAAAATGACAAACATATAGTCAATAAGAAAATATTATCGCCACTGAAAACATATGAGCTTTGGCATCCAGATCTTAAGTAGCATTCTTCTATTTTTTTTAAATCAATTCTGATAATTTTCTGGGCTGGACTTAGTAAATGAGAGCCAGTTAAACGCTTATTTTTTTTAAAAACCAAATTGGTGCTTTTCTGCTGTTTCGTGACTAAATTCTGTTTTCATAAATTCAGGCTTTTGCATCCTCCGTTTTACACTTTAGATTAAGCCCTTTCATGAAAGAGAGAGATGCCTTTCCGGGGCAATTGTGAAATAAATAAGTTATTGAATATATATACATATAAATGAGGTATAAATGAATATACATATAAATAAGACGTATGTGTAAATGTAATTACGAATGCACGTACGCATATATTCGAGCATTCAGTGTCCTTATATAACCATTATGTGCAGTATTGAGATATTTAAATTAAGCGCAGTAATGTAATTATACAACTTGTCAGGCACATCTATCAAAACCATTTAGTTTTAACGGCCCTGTGTTTGATTTAGCCATGAATCTATAGCTGCTCGGAAAAGGATTTTGCAACTTAGTGCGCCAGAGCATTCATGTGCTTGATTTGAGCCTCTTAAACAATTTAATCCGTATTAATCATGCGTGCATTTAGGACCAGCCTCTCGTAATATTTCTCAAAGGCGTTTCAGGTAGTCAATTTATCACTCAGTTTCTGATGCGCAATTCGGCAACATTCTTGATTTATGACGGCTCATTTGACTGAGCGCATATGATAACCTGTGAATTGTGAAAAAGATTGCCTAGAAGCCTGGTACTCGTCTCATCTTTTCACATCCCCACATCAGCTTTTTAGTAGCGATGTCTTTTTAAAGTGACATGTTTATGAAATATTTCCTTTCCATCTGCAATTGTCAGAATGTGAAATTATTACGGGAGGAACGAAAATTTGGGGCCATTTGAACTTTAATGGTAATTATTCAAATTTGCACTCCATTTTTGGTGTAGTAGTTATGGCTGGAAAATTTGTGTGAGTGTGTACTTGATTACCTAATCAAATTTATCAGAAACATGACATTTTCCTATATGGCACTCAGCACCATTAAACAGGCATCCTCAGCACTTGCAGGGTTTATTACCTCTTTTATTTATACAAAAATTATGCACGCTTTCCAATACCTTGCCTCGGACAAGAAAGTGAGGAGGACATGTGTTATGCCTGTTAAAACGATCCATTCATTCAAATGACGTCCTCGGCAACGAGACTGCTGAATAAAATAACAGGTTATTTTTGTGACAATGAGATGAAATGAGAAGGCGCTGCTGGGTGGCCCTGCAATTCCTTTTATCGTCGAATGAACACCTCGGAAAACCGTTACGAATAAGAAATTTAACGATGCACGGAAGTAATAGTTGTCGTGTTCGAAGGCGATCCAAAAACTACTGCTGCATAACTAATAACCTCCTTCCATTGTCGTCAGCAGCGGCAGCCAAAGCCGTTTGAACAAATCATAGACCATTTTCCGGCACAGCTTACTGTAAAAAACGTGAAACAGTTCAAAACCCAACATAGGCTCACAATTAGCTCATTGGATAGTTTTTTTTAAATTATGCCCAGGCTAGCAAACCCGTGCATGCACCTCATGAGGTCTTTTTTAGCAGCTGTGAATTTTGCGTAACAAGCGTCATTTCTGCATAAGTTTTATCTGAGCTTTCTTCACTCGTA